AAAGTTGTAGCTTGAATCAGCGATCATAAACCTGAACTTAAATTTCATACATAAATTTGAAAATCCTTGCTTATTTTTTAGAGCCTGCGTCGCATTAAGCAGATCACCGACCGCCTCACGAACCGCTGCTCTATGAAATAACATGAAACAAACACGCGGAGCGGACGCCCGCTCCGTGCTCCCTCTAAACGCAGCGCAGGATCTTAATCATCATGGCAATACGTAAATATAGTATATGCTTAGATATTAAGAATATATATTAAATTTAAAGCTTAACAACCATTATACTGATGGTGGGAGATTAATCAATAAATTGTTAAATTATGGATTAAATATTACGCAGTTTAATTAAAACGAAGATTTCTTTCGATTCACAAACATTTGTAATGCACTCAGTGTTGTAACAGAATAGAAAATGATGAAATGAAAAACATTTTTTTACAATTTGAAACATAGTTAAAGTCATTACAAAAACAGAAGCTGCGTTACTCAATAATCGCTTAAACCACCATTTGACGCGCTTCCCTCTACGCTTACCAAGCGAACAATGAAAATATCCACTGTTTTTACGTCCAAACAAACGTCTAACTGAACCAAATCAAATCCTTCCGCAATACAAAACCAATCAAGATAATCTTATTACGACAAATACTGATATAAAGCGATAAAGTAACAGAGCCAGAATGGATGGGCTGACGTGGAAACGGAATCGAGTTAGCAAAAATAGGATTAAGTGCCAGCGTTCGTACGTCTACGGCAGAGGTCAGGAACGCAACGGCAGCGGTGACCGGCACACAGTAATATCCACCGGATGGCAGCAGTGATGTTCCCATAACTGAATTGCCGTACAACTGAATCGGTAGCCTCAGAATTCTGATGCCCATTTGTTTCTAGTTGGGCGGTTGATGTACAATAGACGATGATACTGAAAAGACATGAACCTAATTATTACTTTTGAAATGACTTGATAACAAGAAGCAGGAAGTGTGAAACGATAAAACTGAAAACAAAAATTAAAGGCAAGCCAATATTGATGTGTTAACTTGCAATAGGTATAATGATGACAAAAGGGAAACTTAAAGAAACGCGTAAACATTAAACAGTTCCATAATTTACTGTAGCAATATTCAAATCAGAACTATTGTGGAACTTTATAATCTTCATAATAATATTATTGCTTCGGAACGCTTCTATTTTAGTAACATAGCCCCAGAACTTCTCTAATTACTTATAAGTAGGTGTTCGCTGGAAATCATGGTAATTTGGACCTGTTTAAAAATAGAATCAACTTCTTTACTGAGGATTCGGAACGAGACTCCTAATTTTGGATGACTATAACGTTGTCAAAAATAATTCAAAGATAAACTAGTGACAATATGTTAAGTTGTTTGTATTCATTTGTATTAGAATAGTTAGCGTTAGTTATGGTGCTGGTCCTTCCTCAATCCCTGAAGTTCGGTAACTAAATTATCCTCACCTTCAACTGCGGTCACAAAATTCATGCCCATTTGTTTTCAGGTCAGAGACTGGCGAATAAACTTTAGTTCAACTGACACAATGATGCCATTTGTTCCTTTATTACCTATTTGTATTTAAATAATGTACCAGACTTTGGAACTTTAAACAAGCACATTCATTTATTATATTTTTGAAGTCCTTTTGGAAAGCCTACGTTTTGTTATTATTATTAAAATTTGATAGAAATATTATATGCGAATAGGGATGACGACTAATTTTTCTTCAACTGTATTGTAGATTCATCAAACACTGGTCCGCGTGGATATATTTATTTCTAGTATAATTTTCTTTAAATTTTAAACATCTGGCGGTTAAATGCTTAAAAATTAAAAAATATAAAGCATTAGACATACTATGTTTGGAAGGAAAACTTCTTTAGGCGTGGGCATTTTTGAGCTGGGGAAAACCCATTGAACTCGCGATACTTTTACCGACACCTCTGCATATATTTTAATTTTGCCCAACGTTGTTAGTAGTGGTTTGGTCTAATGCAACAATTAAGTTCGAACCCGACAGGTATAAAATTAATATATATATATATATATATATATATATTTTTTGAAGTGAGAACTTGTTTGGGCAATTTGTGAGGTGTTTTTTTTTGTTTTTGTATACATTTTGCTTACTTTTTTTTAGTGCTGAGATTTCTGTCGGCACTCGCCGAGTGCCACTGCTATTTTTTATATTAACTTGAAATGTCGCATGATGTCCTGGTACAATTTTTATTTAAAAGTGACATCACAAACTTTCTTAAGTTTTATATTTGTAATTTTTATCTGACTGACAAAAAATTGGCCATTATTTTTGATAAATCTAACTAACGGACTAAATAAAATTTCGTATAAACTACTCCGTCATCATGCTTATTAAATTTAAATGGAGAGCATTTAAAAAAAAACACTTAAAATCAAAACGAGAGTTAATATAAAACAAGTGTCTGTAACAGAAGCGATAATTAAAAGACAAGTAAGAACTACGTTTTGTGAAAGCTGTTCATATAAGTTCAACGTGTTCAAGTGTGGAGCTATCCATCATCCAGTATAATAGTTGTAGCCAGTGTCAAAGCAGCGCCTATTCAACAACGAAAACACAGCATCTGTTTAAGTGCGTGGAAAGAATACAGCACACGACCGCTCGTAAACTGAACTCATCTCATCACGGATACGACTGCAGAGTTTACCTCTTGAATTCTATATACATGAAACTAAGGTTTAGAATCCGAAAAAATCGCTCAAGCTGACCTAACCGATATCTCACCGTTATTCTGTTTTGCATAATAGAGGTAGGAGGCTTTGTCGTCTCATCTGGCTGGCCTTGTTTTGGGGCGGAGGTTATTGATAAGACTATATATGGGCACATCGACAATTCCAATCTCTAACGTTTTATTGGAATAATGTTATAACGGTGCCATATAAGTATTACGAGATGGATGCTTATCTCTTTTGTTAAGTAATTACATAGTCATCGAACTATTTATGATTAATGCATTACCAATGAAAGTATTTTATGTAACTGCATAATTTATTTAAGCTTTATTATTATGACGTTTTGAACGCAGTACTTGTACTTAAATGTTTTTGTATATAAATAAGTATTGAGTTGAGTTAATTTGACTATTACTTGGAAGTAAAAAAGAACACAATAACTAACACAAAAATAAACACGAAGAATTATTTCAAAATTTTCAGCATTCATTTTAAGAATAAGGGAGTGTTAAATCTATTATCAATAAATAAATATTTCCAATACTCACACCAATTAGCCTAGCCCCAAAGGTAGCACTGTAAGGCTTGTGTTATGGGTTACTAGGGTAACGGATAGAATACATATGCTGTACATATATAAATATATGTATATAAAAATACATATCAAACATCCATGATTGGAATATACAAATGCTCGTATTCATCACACAAACATATATCTGCCCCCACCGGGTTTCGAATCCGGGACCTCTCGAGTCGGCGACATCATGAAACCCGGCGTACATACCACCCGGCCACGGAGGTCGTCAATTATATATATATATATATATTTTATGCTATAGGGGGCATACGACCAGACGGCTCACCTGATAGTAAGTGATCACCGTCGCCCGTGTCCATTGCAACACCAGGAGTATCACAAATGCGATGCCGGCCTTTAAGGAAGGAATATGCTCTTTTTTGAAGGTTTTTGGGTCGTATTGGTCCGGAAACACTGCTGGCGACAATATATTCCACAGTTTTGTCGTACGTGGTAAAAAATTTCGACAAAAACGCACGGTTGTGGATAGCCACGCATCAAGATGACGGGGGGAAGAAATTTTTGTCGTGATGTACGATGGTGAAATGCACCAGCTGGAATTAATCCGAACAATTAAAAATAAATTATAATTGTGTGTCTTTGTCTGAAGGGGTCCTATTTGCGCTTGGACGCTTTTTATTATTTTTGGATTCGATTATACCACATGAGTAAAGGAACGTACAGTCCGTAAAATAATACTGAAAATACCACCTGCACCCTTTACTCCAATAAGCACGATTCATTCCGATCGAGAGGCATCTGTTATTTTTTTAGTTGCACCTTCATGTTTAGATATTACCGATTTAGTATTCGAAACGATCGACCAAAACGGTTGCTCGTAAAAATTTATATTCGTAGGAAATATTCAGTGAATGTGTAAGTAGGTGACTATGCATAGGATTACCATAATATGATTATTTATGAAATCGTTATTCCTTATGACACATGTGTTTGTTACTATGACTTACTTAACATTTCGCTATAGGTCACCAGCCAGATGGGCGTGTAGAGAAATTTCATTTTTTATCGAGGTCTCATTAAATAATATATTAGTATTCTTAAAAATAAAAAATACTGGTCGAGTGCTTCATGTTGAGATACTGATACATATATAAGTATATTTATATATAAATACATATTAAACATCCTTAACTGAAATACAAATGCTCGTTTACATGACACAAACATCTGCTCCCATCGGGATTCGAACCCGGGAGGGACCTTCCGAGTAGGCGACAACTTTAAACCCTGCGTACAAGTCACTCGGCCTCGAAAGTCGTCAATAAGATATTTTGTAATGCTGATATAAAATCATACATATTAATCACTTAATCACATAGCTATATATTAATTCTTCATTAGTAATAATACAATATGGCAGTAGATAATTAAATAAAATAGTAACCTATTTCCTTAGTCCATTGTTATATGGGTTGTATTTGAGCAGGAAATCAGCAGTTGGCACTTCGGAAGTTTTTTATTGCGTCCCCTAGTATGTTGCTACAAAGACATAACATATACGTAGGCGAACTTTTATTACTCTGTCACACATTTTCGGCTGCTTTCTTTGTGACGTTTGTCACACTTAATTCTATTTGCACTTTCTGTACGTGAAACTGGACACGTGTACCTACTCCACTTTGTGTTTGCGGACTTGAAGAAGAATTAATTGATTCCCTTTTTGTTACAGGTACAGGCCTTTCAAGAGCGTATGTTGCTGTAAATTAGAAATAATAGGTATGTTAGTTAATGACTTTTGATGTAGATATGTTTTTGAATAAATAGATACTCCTCTTTGAATGCATTTATTACAGATTAATATTTTAAAGACTTGCTGTGATCGGCACACAAAATCGCGGTCGTGAGTTTCACAGTCTAGTCGATTTCAAGAGAGCTAGGTCATAGCGAATTTTCCTCTCAGAGAAGACTAAAGTAAAAAACACTACTTTGTTTTTTTTATGCATAATAGGCAATGCGTTTGACCGCAATCTCGCCTGATGGAAAGCGATGATGAGGCCTAGGATGATTCACGCCTGCCTAAAAGATGCCTGTTCACTCTGGCCTTGAAGATGTCCAGATTATATTGATCCGGGAAAACAGACCTCGGCAAGGAGTTCCACTCCATAGCTATTCGCATAATGAAGCGGAAGCAAGTCGCTTCGTGCGAATGGAAGGAACTTCGACAACATAAGGGTGAAACCTTTTGGTGGTGTTGTGTTTCTGAGGAGCTCGATGGCGCAGGTGGTTAGCGCGTTCGGCTGCGATCGTTGAAGTTAAGCAACTTTCGCAGTGGTCGGTCATTGAATGGGTGACCAGAAATCTTCTATCTTGAGTTCCTCCGTGCTTCGGAAGGCACGTTAAGCCGTTAGTCCCGGCTGCATCTGCAGTCGTTAGCACCCGCCATTCCGCGTGGTGGGTCATGGCCCAATCTCCCTATTCCATCCATAGCGAAGGCCTGTTCTGCTGATGATGATGATGATGTGTTTCTGTCGGCAATCAAGGTTCCAGGGCTCCACGGGGTAGGCGATTGGGTTAGGGTAGGCAACGACGTGAGTGATATAGATTGATGATAAGTATCGCAAGCGTCTATAGGCTATGGTGGCCGCTTACCATCAGGCAGGCCATATGCTTGTTTGCTACCCACATAAAAAATGCTTCTGAAGTATAATAGAAATAACACAACAACATGGAAACAGTATAAATAATACCCACATTGTTGTATTTTCTCCCTAAATCGTCATTTAAGAAGTAAATGTGGAAGAAGCAATTTGTCCGTTTCGATTACTCGGGAGTCACAGGCGTGACGTCACCGCTACCAATCCGAGCAAAAATTATGAAAATTAAACGAATAATATAATTACACGGAACCCCCAAACAGCGTGTTAACAAGGTTACGCAGAAATTGTTCGCTGCCCGGTCGAATGAAACGAGTCGTCTCGCCCGGGCTTATCACTCGTATATTCGGGTATGCTACCGGTAAAGGTTGGCCGGTTAAACCCAGACTTACTGTAACATAATGAATTAATTAGAACGGAAATTACAGGGTTGCTCGTGACGGTCGACTTTTGTTTGCTATGGTTCAGCGATAAAGAGTAAACGATATATTTGACAAAGAAACCATGTTATATTATATACATTTTGTTTGAAAACATACATATTTTTTGCGAAACAATTTACAGTGAAACATATGCAATATAAGATCATTTATTACTGTTTGGGCATAGAAGTGGAGTCTTCTTCAATAAAAACTCGGTGTTTTTAGTAATTTCGCTTTATGTTATAATAAAATCAATTTAGCAGTAACAGTTTTCTTGACAGAATGAATTTAACAATTTTAACAAGTCATGACATTATGGTCGGTAAAACCAGCCGAACATACGAACGCGGGCGACATCTGCTATCTGCCGGCGACAACCAATGACGCTTGGGCTAAGAGCGCTCCGGTGTCCCATTCAATAGATGGCGCCATCCGTTATATAAATGCAAGTTTTCGCTATGATTTGTAATATTCCTTTTCTTTTATATGTATGTATATGTGGGGTTTATAGGGGCGCGAACATACTCCCCCCCGTTGAAGAGCCAAGTTCTTCAACCTTTAAATTCAACAGCAGCGGGAAGTCGGCAGAGTCGAACCAACGGCCGACGTATACATCCTTTAGTGGTATGAATATCAGCGACTCTAGAAATCCCATCTGATCCAGGATATAATCGTGTAACTCTACCCATCCTCCAATTTAGCGGGGGATTATTATCTTCGTGAATCAGTACTAAATCTCCAACATTAAGCGTCGCCCTTGTTGTCTTCCACTTTGTTCGTTGTTGCAATTCGGTTATGTACTCCTTCTGCCATCTTCTCCAAAAATGCTGACGTATCTGCTCCAAACGGGCGAAGCGGCTTAAAGATGTCTCCTTCAGGTCCTCCAGTGCGGCTGATGGTAAAGCATTCAAAGGTCTTCCAATCAAAAAGTGCCCGGGGGATAAGGAAAGTAAGTCATTTGGAGAGGAAGACATGGGACAAAGGGGACGGCTGTTTAAAATTGCTTCTACTTGTGCTAATAATGTACTAAATTCCTCGAACGTAAGATGCGTATTTCCCATTACTCTTTTAATATGATACTTTGCGGATTTCACACCAGCCTCCCACATTCCGCCAAAGTGGGGAGCGTAAGCCGGAATAAAATTAAACTTTACTTCCTCCTGAGATGCAAACTCGGATAGACGTTTATTATTTTGTTTTAAAAAACTAGACAATTCTTTGGCTGCTGCCACAAAATTTCGACCGTTGTCTGAATATACCTCCGTTGGCTTACCACGACGCGCTACAAATCTACGGAAGGTCATTATGTAAGATTCCATTGATAAATCTGACACTGCCTCCAAATGTATACATTTGAATCGCAAACATATAAAAATACATAAATAACACTTTGTTGCTTTAGCGCCTCGACCCTTTCTATTTAGGATAAGAAAAGGACCAGCATAATCTACGCCAACAGTCCTAAATGGAAAATCAACTGATACGCGATATGCAGGTAAATCGCCCATTCTGGTTAAAAGTGTTTGGCCGCGCACACGGCTGCAAACAAGACAATCCCTTACGACACTTCTAGCGAGCCTCCTGCCGTTAATAGGCCAAACGGTTTCTCTCAAGGTAGCCAGTAGAAGCTGTGGACCAGCATGCAGATTTTTGATGTGTTCACGTTCAAACAGTAACCTTGTCGAACGATGCGAGGAGTCAATTAATATGGGATGCTTCTTTTCAAATGGGTAGTTGGAGAAACCAAGTCGACCACCAACACGTATTACAAACTGCTCATCCAAAAATGGTGATAGAGACGAAATTTTCGATTTACTGCTCAACGCAACGCCCTTCAAAAGTTTCTCGTACTCTGCCTTAAAACACAATGATTGATTAATTTTGCAAATTAAAATAAATGAGTTTTGCAACTCCTCGGGCCTAAAATACCCTGTATACTTCATGGATTTAGTTTTAGAATTTATATTATGGCAAAAACGCAACACGAAAGCCAGAATTCTACGTACTTTATCAAAATTCGAAAATTTATTAAAGTCGATTAAGGGTATTCCCTCATCTACGATCGCAATAGTGAGTACCTTGACCTCAGGTAAGTTCTCAACTACTGTTTTTCCGTTTAATTTGGGCCATTCTAATTCATTTTTTTTTAAATAACTAGGACCTGACCACCACAATTCCATGCTAGAAAGCTGGTTGCTATTGACTCCACGAGATATTAAATCAGCAGGATTGGAGTCAGTTGGAACATAGTACCACGATTTGGGATTAGTTAATTCCAGTATTTCGCCTATTCTGTTAGCAACAAATTGCTTAAGCTTCATTGGATTACTGTTAATCCATCCCAACACCACACTCGAGTCGCACCAGTGAAACGTACGAGTAGGGAGCCCTCTTAATGAATCAAGTACACTCCTAGACAGTCTAGCAGCTAACAATGCGGCACAGAGTTCGAGACGAGGTATGGTGCACGGTTTAAGAGGTGCCACCTTTGACTTTGAGCATAGTAGCCTCACCGTGATCTCGTTGTCACAGCTCGTGGATCTCAAGTATACACAAGCACCATAAGCGCATTGCGAAGCGTCACTAAAGGTATGCAGCTCAAAAGATGTCGGAGACTCGCACAGCACCCTGCGGGGAATCTGAAGACTTGCAAGAAAAGATAGGTTATTGTAGATTTCAGACCACTTCTCCCTAAGATCCACAGAAATGGGTTCATCCCATCCTATTCCTTCTAGCCATAGCCTTTGGACTAATATTTTTGCTTGAATAATGCAGGGGCTCAAAAGACCAAGCGGGTCATAGATTTGAAATGAAAGCGACAGTATAATTCTTTTTGTGATGGTGCTTATATCAATGTCAGTATTAACCTTGATTGGAAAGTTGAAAGTATCATTCACAGGGTCCCAACCAAGACCCAGGGTGTGCGAAGACTCACTTAACGTTAAGACATCTGCAGAACTCAAATCTGAATCTTCAAACAAAACCTTTGAATTTGTTTTAAATTTCCTCAAGGGGAAACATGCTGAATTTAGGGCGTTTGTTACTGAATTTAGTATGTGACGTAACTCTAGTTCATTATCACAGCCGGTGATCAAATCATCAACATAGAAATCCTTTTGTATGATATCTTTGATGAATTGTTCACCACATTCCTCTCCAACTTGGTTTAAACATCTAGTACTCAAGTAACTAGCGCTTGCAGTACCATATGTTGTAGTATTGAGACGCCATGTTTTAATGGGCTCATTCTCATTTTCCCTCCACAAGATCAGTTGCAAGTCCCTGTCTTCTTCATTGACATTTATTTGACGGTACATTTTAGCTATGTCACCGGTCAAGAGAAATTTGTGTTGACGGGCTCTGACCAATATGGAAAAAAGCGACTGTTGGACGTTAGGGCCCACCATCAATATATCGTTTAAAGAATATCCTGAAGTTGTGGGAGAGGAGCCATCGAACACGACTCGAATTTTGGTTGACTCACTCTCCTCTTTAAAGACAGCATGATGACATAAAAAATATGATGGATATTGTTCTTTCGTGGGTGATTCAGACATATGACCTAAATCTTGATATTCCCGCATAAAGTTTGTATATTGTAATTTTAGCTCTGGATTTCTTTTAAATCGCTTTTCAAGGTTTAGAAGCCTTTGTTTGGCTCGAAAGTAAGAATCTCCAAGGCAGTCGGGAGTATCCTTTA